CTTTATTGAAGATTGGTGATGGCATCTGGAAGATAGGGAGGAGGAGAGAGGGAGTTGGGGTTAATGCCACTAGGACCAACTTGAGAGTCACTGGACCCCTGTCTCACAAAATAACTGTCCACAGTCCTCTGTTTCTGGCCCCTCTTTAACATTTCCCTAAAATGAGACATGGTTCTGTCACTGAACTGGTTCCACGAGTTTTCTGTACCAGATCGGCATGCAACTTCCTTGCCTTTTCGCAAATAATCATCTCTGAAACACTATCACCTGCTATCTCTTTATCCTTGGTCCACACCAGCAACAACTTCTCAAGCTCTTCAACTATTTGTGGTCTCTTTTTGGTTAGCATATTAACACCTTTTGCAACATCAGCTTCCTTGATTTGTTCTTTCTTTGCCAGGATAGAACCGATAGTCGACTTGATTTTCCCATACATCCTGGTAAGCTCAGCAAATCTCATACCACTCTCATACTTCTGTATTATTTCCTTCTTCACATCTATGGTGTTTCTCACTTTCTTTACCACAGGGGTAGCACTAGCAAGTTTCTTTGGGCCCATGGTAGCTTATTTCACAGTCCCACAAGCAGTAAACACAATGAAATATAATCGTAAAATGTTTGAATGAGAGCGCAAGTTAGTGTTCACTCAAACATCAACAAAGCCAGACTGGCTCACGGCGTCTGCGCGGGAACGGGGACAGAGCGGGCTGGCGGACAGGTCCGGTACCCAGCGGTCCAAAAATAGGGACAAAGTTGATTCGAAAAAAGAGTTCTATTTTTGAAACGTTCGATAAGTGATACATTTGAAATTTGAGGTTGCACTGTAACACCAAACATTCATGCCATCTCTCTGATGCATGCTCCACTCTTCAGCATCTCAGTTACCTCTTTTTTTTAATAGCCATAATTTCATTCTTCACTAGCATCACCTGCACTTTATTTGGAAGCCATGATAAATACCCAGAGACAAGATGGGCAATTAAAAGAAAAAACTGAGTGATGTGCAGCATACTAAAATTGTGCAGCACATGCCTGGATACACTGACCCACTTGGGAAACTGTTTGTTTATATCCTCTCATCCTCCCCTGCTGTGCTAAGACAGTGGAGTTGCCTAATGTGTGTAGGGGAGGTCTCGTGTCTGCCTGCCAAAGTGCTCCTTAATGGAAATGATTTCTGTTCCTGTGTGCCTTAATAGAAATGAGCATACTTCTATTGGAAATGAAAACCTTAATTTAAAGCACATAATATTGATAACGTAAGCTGTGATTGCGTGACTTAAGGTTTTCTACCATGGCTTCTAAACTTCTGATGAGACATTGGGGGGGGGGGGGCTTCTCAGTCATATCTGTAGAACTGTCTTATTATGTCCCTCTTCAGGCCTGAGTCCATTTATCCTTGCCAACCATTTTCCAGTGTAAATGTTGCCCCTGATGTGCCCACTTGTTCAGCTGGTAGGGTAGGATCAAGAGATGATTGGCAATGGTATTGATTAGTAGCATTCTCCCTTCCACCCTCTCATGGACATAAATAGTCTTCTATGCAAATCCTCTGTCCTTGATTCCTAGTACCTGGCTTTTTTTTCTTGCTGGTGTTGTACCCCCATAAATTGTGTCCACACAACTGCCATGTCTTTCTCCTGCCTCATCTTTAATATTCCTCTCCTTCAGATTCCACTTCTTTGTATTATCGTAAGTGTTCCATTTCCATTCACATAAATCTTAATACAACCTCTGCTTTACCGTTGAATCTTGACTTCACTTGATTTCTCATAGATGATGGCCTTTTGTTGCTGTTGCTTTATATACAGTATTTCTTTAATTTGCCCTTTTTCATGTTCATTTTGCAGTTTAACATCAGAAATTACAGGGAAAATGTGGGAGATCTTCAGCTGTTGTTCTGGTATATTCCTGTGTCTGTGCTTATAAAAACCTTAACTATATGACTGGTGGTATTATCATCATCTATGTTCTGATCCATTCATCAGACCCATATTCAGTTACTTCATGCAGCATAACAAAAAGTATGCTCTCTTATAATGCCATCCACATTTATTTCTAGAAGTGGTACAGTTTGTTTCTTGTATCCCTCGTCATGTGTTCCTAGGGCCTTTGTCTTCAGATAATCTCATTACTGTTCTTCCTTGCCTAAATCACTCACATTAGACAATTTTAACCCTTTCAGGGTCGGTGTTGTACTAGTACGACTTGCATGCCAGGGTTGGTGTCATACTGGTACACGTAAATTCTAGCACCTTCAAATCTAGCGAGAGAAAACTGGTAGGCGTACATATGAAAGAATGGATGGGTCTGCATGGTCAGTGTGCACAGTATGAAAAAAATCCTGCAGCACACAGTGCATAATGAGAGAAAAAAACTCCAACCGTGTTTTTGGTTTAAAACAGCGACTTTGCACTGTATTTTCGTATGGTATTAATGGTTTTATTCTCATTTTCTTGGTCTCATTTTATAGAATGGAAAACATATTACAGAAATTGAGATGATTTTGACTGGTTTTACAATGAAAAGTACCTTGAAATTGAGCTCAAAGTAGCAGAAACGATCGATTTTTTCCAATGTTCAAAAGTAAACAAATAATGCCACACGTCCAATACACGTCAACTGGCGAGTCTAATATTCTTTCACAAGTGCGCTGACATTATTTATATAATTTTTACACTAATGCAGTAGTCTGCATAACAGTACATAAGAACATAAGAACATAAGAAAGGAGGAACACTGCAGCAGGCCTGTTGGCCCATACTAGGCAGGTCCTTTACAATTCATCCCACTAACAAACATTTGACCTACCCAATTTTCAATGCTACCCAAGAAATAAGCTCTGATGTGCAAGTCCCACTCAAATCCAACCCATCCCACTCATGTATTTATCCAACCTAAATTTGAAACTACCCAAAGTCCTAGCCTCAATAACCCAACTAGGTAGACTGTTCCACTCATCAACTACCCTATTTCCAAACCAATACTTTCCTATGTCCTTTCTAAATCTAAACTTATCTAATTTAAATCCATTACTGCGGGTTCTCTCTTGGAGAGATATCCTCAAGACCTTGTTAATATCCCCTTTATTAATACCTATCTTTAATACCTATTTTTTGTGAGAATAAAAGTTCAAAGTGGAAAGCAAAAGAAATGTAAGAGGGGCCTGGAGATGTGACTAATGAACAGAGAAAATGTTATTTTAGTGCCAGGAATGTGTGTCTTGTTTATTCTGGACCCTATTTTGAAATTGGCATCTTTCGAAATTTGTGTGAAATTGGCAAAATTGCGTAAACAATTGACAAAATTGCCAATTTCTGACTACTTTATTGGATAGTTGAAATCAATAATTGGCTGGTTTCTTGTACTCATTCGATAGAACAAATGGAGTTCTAACGAATAGCTATGATATTTGTCGACCGGTACATTGGAATTGGCTGAAAATAGGGCTCAAAGTGAGTGATATCGCCAGTGCGTAAACATCATCGAGACTGCTATCTTCACGAGAGCATAATTCCGTAAGTCTTCCATCAAATTTCATACTTTTGGTGTCATTATGATCGGGAAAAGTACTGTAGGTGAATTATTGGTGCATTTTAGTTGATTATTTTTTCCATATTGCTGTTACTATTCCATAGATCTCTGGGAAGCTTTTACATAGGGATAGGTGTGCCGCTTTCAAGAATTCCAGATGTTTATGTCCTTTCCTGTAAAATGCCTTTTTATCAGTTCCTCACATAATGGTCCCAGTATCTATTGCCTTATTTGTTTTTTCTATTCATGATCTTCTGTAACTAACTAGACCTGAGACAACACACACCACCCTTATTCAAACCCTTGAAATTACTAAACACACACACATTTAATAATACATTCTCTTATGTACTTAATCCAGAAAAATCTGAATTTTAATTCTTGCTCTGCAGTGCCTTCAACTCATCACCATGACAAACACTATTACTAGTAACCTCTTACATGACTCAACCTGCACTTAGGGAAATAAAGGCACTTCAAAGTATGAAACAGCTTACTGGACTTAGCAAAAGCTTGTTTCAATACCTGTTATATTTAAAGAAAATGTTGCCGAATACTTGAATTAGTATACTCAGCATGCAAGTCATTAAACTTGTAACCCTTCCTCTCCTTACTGAATATAACTCCTTACCCAGTTTAAATTTTCATTAGTTTTTCAGTTACAAGTACAGTAATATCATCTACAATAACTTGTACTTCAAATATAGTTCCTACCACAGTTATATCTTTATCACATTTTAAATATCTGTAACTGATTTCAAAGTTGTTTTCTTCCCTTTCAGCCAGGCATTGTATAATTATGAAATTAATGGTTTTATTTATACTGTATATCTAATGACAATTCCTAATAGTATAACACAATGCATTTTATTAGTGTGTGATCTGGTAAATTGTACTTTAATACTACATGTACATACTTCAGTTATGTGCTCAGTATCATTTATTGTTCTTGCTGTTGTTTGTATCCTGTATGTATTTTTACAATTACTTTGTGAAACAAATTTGTCTCATCTTTTGACTTGCAGTTAGCATGCTTAATATTTATATGTATAATATACAAAATTTAAACGAATAAGCACCTCGTACTTTTACCCCAGTCTCCTATTCTTTTGCTTTATCTAATCACCCAATTAGATTTACTTTTAATTACAAAACTACATAACTATAAAATCATCATGTGTTTCATATGTAAAAGTATGGCTATGAGTCAACAATTGATGGTTCCAAAAGCACTTTAAGCAAAGAATCCTTTTATTCACTCTTTCACTGTCACGACTCTGGATATTAAAGGTGCTGACATTGTTGTTGTTTTTTTTTTTTTTTTTTTTTTTCAAAAAATAAAAATTGTCTCAACAAAAGTACAGTGGAACCTCGGTTTTCATAGGATTCGGTTTTCGACGACTTTTTTTTTTTTTTTTTTTTTTTTTTTTTTTTTTTTTTTTTTTGTCAAAATTGTGCCCCAGTTTTCGTACATCCACTCGGTTTTTGTGGAGTTGACAATGGTCCACCTTACCAAATGCGTCCGCCTGCCCGCGCTCACACAAAGCATCCCACGCATTCTGACTCAGTCTGGCTTTGTTTCTCGTTGAGTGAGCATTACCCCACATGTTCAGGTAACATTTCATAATCCATTGTTTTTTGTGCTTGTTTATTGAGTGCAACTGCTAAATAAGCCACCATGGGGCCAAAGAAAGTTCCCTTTGATATAGAAGGCGAGAAACACAATAAAATCCAAGAAAGAACTTGAGCAAAGTACGAAAATGGCGTACGCACGGCTGACCTTGCCAGGATGCACGGGAAGTCCTCATCAACGATCAGTTCCATTCTGGTGAAGAAAAAAGAAATGAAGAAAGCTGGTGTTGCGAAAGGGGTAAGTGTGCTAATAAAACGGAGATCACAAACAATCGAAGATGTTGAGAAGTTGTTGTTGGTGTGGATCAACGAAAAACAGTTAGCGGGAGATAGTGTTGTGGAGGCGATAATTGCGAAAAGGCAAGCTGGTCCTAGTGCTAGTAAAAGACAAAGAAGGGAAGTAACCCTTCCTTGATACCAGAAGTCCTTATGGAGGGGGATTTCCCTTCCAAACAACCTCTCCTCCTCCTCCTCCTCCCTCTCCCCTCCTCGTCGTCTTCCATACGCCAACAAGAGTCTTCAGTAAAGGTAAAAGTGATGTTAAATGGTCATTTATCCATTTCATTACTCATTTATATTTATTTCTCATTGTTTTCTGTATGTAAAACTATAGTTATTCTCTATAAAATGTATTTTTTGTTAATATTTTTGAGTGTCTGGAATGGATTAATTGGACTTGCATTATTTCTTATGGGAAATGCTGCTTCAGTTTTCCTACAATTTGATTTTCGTCAGACTTCCTGGAACAAATTAATCACGAAAACCAAGGTTCCACTGTATTTATATGGCTAATGAATCCCCAGATTTTTTTTCCCATCATTCCCTATGAAAATGTACAGGTGTGAAGTTGAAATTTGTTATCTCCTAAAAGTGACATCAGCGATTGCTGTTTCCTCCATATTAATTTATTTTGTTTTGACTTTTTTTTTTTTCTCAGGTTTTCTAGTTTTTATACATTTTCCAGTAACTGTTGTTAGTTATGATACCCATTTCATGCACAGTGACCATATGGCTAGCCTTTGTATACCACACACTACTCTCGTTAACAGTGTCAACAGTATGTTATTTACAAAATGGTGATACACAATGTAAACACACACTGGCGCTAGTGCTGTTTACCCTCTCCATCCCACCAGTCGCTGCCACATGCATAGCTGACAGTGCCCATGGCCCCTCTCCCCATGTCAGTGAAAGCACCACCTTTACTATTACTAATTGTTGCTGATGTTGGGTCCTGTGATGTGCTGTGTTCCTTGGTGGTAACAATAGATACACTACCAGATGGCATACATAGGTGTATAAATTGATTCTTCTCTAGCAAATAATTATCAACACTATCACTAGACTGATCATTGATTGCTAGGGAATCAAAGTACACATCACTTCCATCATTATTATTAACATCTGTGCCCAAGGCACGGGAGAATATGAGCTTTCGCTTATGACATGGGTGTATTACGGGTATACTGTGCCTAATGGTGGATGACTGTGGGTCATGGGGTTTTCAGTGTTATTTCCAGTATCTCGGTTATCACTTTCATCACTAAATGTTTGAACCAGTAGAATTTATCCTCTGTATTAAGGATGAGGAATACAGTAATACATATTGAATTTACCTTGGAGTGAGACCCTTGTGTGGTGGACAATGGAACACTAAAATGGCATTCCAAAATGCACTGTTGTGGCACCAGTTTTTTGTATACTGGACACACTGACAGTGCATACTCATTTTCTCATGGCTAGTCCTTCCAGGCCTCTTGCACGAAATTTAACCCTTTGACTGTCGCAAGCCCCTTTCTGAAACTGTCAGTCTATGTTGCAAAATTTTTTGGAAAAGAAAAATTTGTATCTTATGAAATGATAGAGAATCTTTTCCCGATGGTAATGACCCCAAAAGTACGAAATTTCGTCGAAAACTCACAGAATTACGCTCCCGCGAAGTTAGCGGTCTCGGCGACGTATACGCATCGGCGATTTTGCCGACTTTGAGCCCTGTTTTTGGCCAATTCTTTTGTTTCAGTTGACCAAACTCATAGCTATTTCTTTAGAACGCCATTTTTTCTATCAGTTGAGTACAAGAAACTGCCCATTTACCAATTTGAACTACCCAATAAAGTGGTCAGAAATTGGCAATTTGACCAGTTTCACGCAAATTAAAAAAGATGCCAATTTCAAAATAGGGTCCAGAATAAACAATGTAGACATTCTTGGCACTAAAATAACATATCCTCTGTTCATTAGTCACATATCTAGGTCCCTCTTGTATTACCGCTGCTTTTTATTTTGATTTTTTATTCATACAAAAAATACAAAATTTACTGTTATGCAGACTACTGCATTATTGTAAAAATGGTATAAATAATATCATTGCATTAGTGAAAGAATATTAGACTCCGCAGTTGACAAGTATTGGATATGTGGTGTGATTTGCTTACTCCTGAACATTGGTAAAAATTGAACATTTCCGCTACTTTGAGCTCAATTTCAAGGTCGTTTTCATCGTGAAAGTAATCAAAATCATCTCTATTTCTGTAATGTGTTTTCCATTTTATCACGTGACACCATGAAAACGAGAATACAACGATAAATACTATACGAAAATACACCTCAAAGTCGGTGTTTTAATCCAAAAAAACGTTCAGTTTTTTTTCTCATTATGCACTGCGTACTGCAGGATTTTTTTTGTGTGTTGCACATTGACCACACAGACCCATTCTCTCACATGTGGGCCTACCAGCTTTCTCCTGCTTGATTTGAAGCCGCTAGAATTTATGCGTATTAATACGTCCGAAACACTGGCTCGTTAGACGTACATGTATATATATGACCAAAACAGTCAAAGGGTTAAAGCTGCTAGAATGTATATGTAGATCTACATAGCAACACTGGCTTCAGTAATGTAGATCTATGTGGGAGATAGTGAATTAATAAATGGTTTCATTACTGAAGGTATCATTTTTACCACCACAACAGCTTAAATTTTGATCAAAACACTTACGTACACAAGGGGCTTCAATTACTGTTCACTAAGTACATTATTCTTTACAAAACATTGAAAATTACAGAATACATTAATGTAAAACTGCATTAGAGGATGCTTACTGTACATTACTGGTATTTGAGAAGTGCCTTGCATGCATAGTATGTTGGCCAGTATCTTGTTCCACCAATCCCACTTATTATTCTATGTGGTTTTCTAATTAATATGTATAAGTTTTATTTGATTATAGGTTAGGTGGCTTGTAGATCAGTGATAGCAATTTAAGCTCACAACCAAAGAACCCAGATTTGATCATGGGGTGAGTGGGGACATTGGACATGTTTCCTTTCACTTGCTGCCCATGTTCAGCTAGCAGTAAATAGGTACCTGGTTGTTAGCCAACTATTATGGGTGGCATCTGGGAGAGGGGTGGTAGAACATTATACCTTACATGAGACTGGACTTTGAAATGTATTAGCTTAAGATACCAGCTTTTTGCTTGTAAATTTATCTCTACAAAAATATAAAAAGATAGTGCAAAAGAAGAGTTTGAGGTGAAAGCATAAGTGGAACTTTTGATTTAAGAATTTTTGATGCATGTGCATAATGGCAATTGTACCTCTAAGAGATTAAGAGAAAATTAAAGCCACAGTATCATGGCTGGAAATATGTTTTGGTCTGACCTGGACGATTTGACTTGATAATGGTCCAGGATGATTCAAGATGCTTGTATGGACTTCATAATCTGTAATATTACAAACATGGTAAGTGTAAATTACAAATATAGTGCTAATTATATTATCAGTGCCAATCAGTAATGATTGTTTACATTGCTTATAAATGACAAGTAAAATTTATCAGGAGGTTACCTTTAACAATACTGAAACAAACAAGTATACGACTGTGCAATAAATTCTGGCCAATGACACCAAGAAGATAATAAACAGGTGAGCACAGTACTGAGGTATATACTACTTTATTCACTGCTGTATTTATCTTCATATTTTTGTCTTTATGTACCTGCTAATGTGCATGAGGCACTGAATTAGATACACAGTATTACCATGATAAAAATACTCTTTTGATTGAAGTTAAAGTGTTATTTTTGGAAGAATGCATAAATGAGTTTGAGTTATTGCAATTGAAGCCATTGTTATTGAAGATTTAATAGAAATTTAATTAAGTGAGGGGATTAATTTATTGACTATCTCAGGCCAAGTCTAGCCAACCAAAGTCTTGTCAGTTTCATTAGTGTGTTTTCCAATCTGTTGATTGACATCAAGAAACAACTAATAAAATAATGAAAATGCCATCCAAACAATGCCTTAAATTTTCTGTTTAAACCCAGTTGCAGGGTCTGGGGCTAGCTGTTACCATCATGCATTGGGTGGGGCAGGATTTCTTTTTATATTGCACACACCCACTGCACAGACAAATTATCTCATGTCTAGGCCAAAATTTATTGCTCTCAAGTTTGAGGGTGCTACAAATTAAGTAGGTCTATGGCACAGACACTGATCTCGCTGACATACTGTAGATGTGACTGTCAATTTAGTGGTTAATAAGTGTTGCTGCACAAGTTTTAGCTGATGTTGTTATTCTGGGTCATGGTCCCCTCTACAAGCTCTGTGGGTTTAGTGCAACCCTTAAATGTAATAATAATCTGATTCCTTTTAATTGCATAAGTTGAGCTATGAAAGAGGCATGCCAACAAGATTCCTCTCATGAATCATGTCTATGAGATCCCTGCAGCTTTCTGAGAACATTTTCGTAGCATTGACATTATTATTATTATTATTATTATTATTATTATTATTATTATTATTATTATTATTATTATTATTTTTATTTTTTGGCACTGACTTTATTATTGTTACATTTGAAAGCAAGTGCCACACCTGTATATGTCATACAGCACAAGAAGGTACATAAATGTTGTAAGGATGGGTTAACAGTTTGATTATTTCTTCCATGGAAAAAGCCCCTTAATCATGAAAGCACTTTAGGCAAAGCATGTACAGTGCATTACAGTGGAACCTCAACTTACGGGTTTAATCCGTTCCGTAACCAGCTCATAACTCAATTTGCTCGTATATCAAATCAATTTTCCTCATTTAAATAAAATGAAATGCCATTAATCCGTTCCAGCAGAATTCCTGCTCTCGGGAGGCAGGACAAAATACTTCAATATGTAATGCTAATATCAACTCTACAGCTTGTTTATCTATCACAATTGATCTAATATGACATAATAAACAATATAAATAATATAGAAACATGATATATACTCTAGAATGAATATGTCATGTGATGAGTGGTAGCGGCCATTGTCACTCCCGCACTGACCATATTTTCCCATTCTTCTTCTGAAAACGGAGTGTATGTGAGGCTAACTGCACTAACTGTTTACCTCACCGTGGAAGCATTTCTCTCGTGTTTTGCTTGCATTTTATGCAGTTATTCTGCCAATTTTTTTTTTCTAACCATGGGTTCTAAGAAAGTAAATGCAAAGGACAATGCTCAGAAGAAAAAGAGGATGATGTCCATGGAATTAAAGCATGAAATCATAAATAAGCGAGGTGTGTAGGTTGTGGGTTCGGGGGAAGATCGCTCATAACTCGGATGTTGGCTCGTAACTCAGAGCAAAAAATTGACCGAGCAATGGATCGTACCTTGAAAAAAACTTTTGTTGGGATACTTGTAAGTCGAGGTTCCATTGTATTATGAAGGGCTTGTTAGTTTGTTAATTTCAGAGATTGAAATAACCTGTGATGTAGGTTCTGAGAGCAGAGCTAGTTAAGGTTTTAATTGCTGATGCTAATTGTTAAGATTTGGGTACAGATCCTTTATGTAAGTTTTAAGGGTAGGTTAGGGAGTAGTATAAGGCTTATAACATAGGATACATCTTTGAAAGTATGCCAACTCATTTTCTTAAATGTGTGTTGAACATAGAGTTTGAAGTTATGCATTTTTTCTACCAGCAGGAGTAGAAATGTTGCTTTTTCTTTATTTGGCAATAATCTGTGGGTAGTCTATTTCCAAATATTTAATACACTTTCTCTATATAAGTGTTGGTTGCTATCCATATGTAAATTTTCTTATGCTCTTCAAAAACAAGTTAGTTCAGGATGTTTGAGTCAGTGCTAGAGATTGTATATTTATTTTGTTATTCCCTCAAAATATTAGTGTGCAGTGTTGGGTAGCACTGGGAAGATCACTGCTCTATGTGTGGAGCAGGATAGAATCAAGCATGCTTCCTCGAAAAATGCCAAGGTTTGGTGGGAGTGTAGGTAGGGTCGTTTATGGTTAAATATTGTTGCTTTCTTGTCCTGTCTTCCTTAATTATACCAGTAAAATTTTGTCCAATAAAGGCTCGCCTAGCTAAGTGTCTTTGTTTTACCCCAAAAGTTAAGTAGGTTTGCAAAATGAATGAGAATATTTAGATGTCCAGGAAATTTTTTTTTCTTTTTAACAATAGTGAAGTGCACATTTTAAGTGTCATGAAACCACAATTCATGAGGAAAGGAAGTATAATACAGTACAAACAATATCAACTTGTTATTTGCAGTTCACTGGCCTGCTTGTTTTAGAACTGGCTTGCCATTACCTGGAATTTACCTGGAGAGGGTTTCACGGGTCAGCGCCCCTGCAGCCTGGTCTGAGACCAGACCTTGTTCGATCCTTTAAGAGAAATCCCCTGATGCTTGTAAAAGGATCTTGATTCAGGGAACTGGAGCAACCCTCCCCTTCCCTTCTTGGATTGACTTTCAACTGCTTCCTATTTCCCATTCCTCAGGCTCTGTGTAACCCCTACAGAAGTCAGATAACAACCTTTTAGGGTTATGAATACTGTTTCATGAATTTTAAAAGCTTTTGTCTTAACTATGCTTATTTCAAAGCCCAGCCCTGGTTCAAAGTATACTACCACCCCATATAATGTGACTCAGAACAGTCAACTAACACCTAACACTTACATACATTACCCATTTACTGTTGAGAGAATAGGGACAGCAGGTGTAGAAAGACTTGCCAGCATGGCTTACATTCCTGTGTCCTCTTGGTTGTGAGCCGAAAGCTCTGCTTTTAAAGGGCTTAATGTTTTTCTGGAAGGTGGGTTCACTTGTCTTGCATTTGGTGATACACAGTTATGAAATATCACAGTGTTTAGGATACTAGATAGATTTCATAGAAGCTGGGGTAAATATGGTCAGAAATGAAATTGCTGAAGTTTATAGACTGTATTGAAATTTGATTGGAGATTTGGTAAGTGTACATAATTGATGTTGGCATTTGGACATAACGTAGAAAAGAATAAACAGAATGTAAGTTTAGTAAATCTAAGTGCATGGAATAAAGGTAAGTTGAAAGGTCAGAGTAGAAAAATAAATATGTATGAAAGGAAGAAATAGAATTAGAAGTGTCTTGGCTACAGTATTTAGCAGTTGTGGGAGAAGATAGACATAGTAGGAGGATTGAATTATTATTTTACTCTTTGGGATAAATAATAAGAATCTTAGTAAGAAAGAAAGGGATAAGGGGCTAGTAGCGTAGAACTGAAGGTGAGATAGATTGTACTGTACTGAGCACTTAAGTTTATGGTCAGTAAGATGTAGCAGTAAGAGTTATTCACATATTTTACACAAAAAAAATGTTGAATGGTTTGAAATAGATTAGTTTATGTGAGAGGAAACAAAGTGTTACTGCATTTTCTTTAGTCTTCACTGAATAATAGAGTGAAGCATAGCAGGGTGAATCCTGGTGTTGGGTGTGGAAGATAATTTATGTTATCAGCAGAAGGGACTAACTCTTTTAATGAATAGTAAATATAAATCATATTTTGTATTCTTTATTACTTGGAGGAATAATAATTGCAATCTACACTTGTGTGTTTATGAAGAATATAATGGATCAGATGGCAAAGCAAAAGCAGGCAAACTTAATTTATAAAAGTGGAGTTGGATGTAAAAATGTGGTGTAAAAAAAAAAAGAATTTCAAGAATAATAGTTATGAGATGCAGTTGTTGGATGAGAAAGTAAATAAAGATGATGTATGGGGTGTAGAAGTATATGGAAGAGTAGATGTAAGAATTGCTTACAAGAGCTTTTATTCAAAGGTGAGTGAGAGTATGTTGAGGAAGGCAGTTCCATACTTTTTTTGTTTTTTTTTTAATGATTTGTGTTATTTTCAGTGGACAACAGATAATGATATTGCTGCAGCTGTCCAGAACCTTGGTTTGAGTGACTTTTTGGATGTTAAGTTCTTTGAAAACCGTGCCAATGGTCAGAGTAAAGGTTTCTGTGCCATATCTTTGGGTTCGGAGAGCAGCAGCCGGATTGTAATGGAGAAACTACCCCGTAAGGAAATACACGGCATGAATCCTGTGGTCACCTTTGCCAGCAAGCAGGCTCTAACCCAGGTCAGGATAAGTATGCTGGAATGATAGTGGCAGAGTTAAGAGTCATAACAGATTTCTGATGCAGATTTCTCACCCACGACAGAAATGATTTTAACAGTTTCTACATTATGTGCCAGTCGTTATTTCACTTGTAATTACACCCTTGAGAACTTGTGAATATTATTTCTTTTCAATTTTGGACCATTAATTAACCTAGGAAGTTTTAATTGCTGTACTTTCAGTTTGAATCACAGAGCAAAACTCGAGCAAGTCCACAGCATCAACATCAGCATCGTAGCGGCCCTGGTGGTCCAGGTGGCCACCCGGGTGGGGGCCCAGGAGGCCCTGGAGGACCTCGAATGCCACCACCAGGTCGTGGCATGCCTCCACCAGGGATGGAACATAGACCACCAGGTCCGCCTGGGCCTCATGGCCCACATGGAGGCTCACATGGTGGCCCACATGGTGGTCCACATGGTGGCCCACATGGTGGTCCCCATGGTGGTCCCCATGGAGGCCCACATGGTGGCCCACATGGTGGTCCACATGGTGGTCCACATGGTGGTCCACACGGTGGCCCACATGGACCCCATGGTGGTCCCCATGGCCCTCATGGACCACATGGACCTCCAGGTCCTCATGGTCCTCCTGGTGGGCCTCATGGTGGACCACATGGGCCACACGGACCTCATGGACCTCATGGTGGGCCTCATGGTGGCCCACATGGGCCTCCAGGACCACATGGACCTCCTATGGGTCCTCATCATGGGCCTCATCAGGGTCCACCACGTGGACCACCACCTCACAATATGCAAGGTAAAGGTATTTGTACCCATATTCGTCCTTCATATTGCACAGTAGTGTCAAAACTTTGCTTGTACACTAATAAGACATACAATTTTGTTAATGATATACAATACAGCCTCTCCTCACTTAGGATGTACTCGTTTACCGATGACTCGAACTTACAGTGAGCTCTCTGACTATTATGCATACCTAAATAATGTATATTAGAGCTGATTTTTCTCTATTCTATTTATTACAGTATACAGCACACTATAAACATTGAGAAATATACTAAAAATGTTATACAGGTGACCCTCCATATTCGCGAGGGTGAAGGGATCAAGAACCTCGTGAATGTTGAAAATTTGCGAATGTTTGATGCAAAAATATATTGTAGGGAAATATAATAATAGCATTTACTTGGCCTAACAATACTGCTTCCTTAACCTATTGAACCATGAACAATCATAAAACACATGAAAACATTGTAAAATACATGTATGTGCATTGTATATACATACGTATTATGGTTTAATAACAATGCACAAACAAAACACTCACCACTTGTAAGGTTAGGCAGACGAACTCTGATGATTTGTGATGATGGTGACAGTGGCGATGATGATGGCAACAATAGTTAGCCATACAATTACTGATGACAGTTGAATGGAGGTGATTATATGGAGTGTAACTGCATGGCATGATGAGTCTAGTGTGTGGATTCTAACTCTTCACTGCCAGCGTCACTGCTGATAATAGGTGGTGGATCGTCGACATCGCTAGAGTTAGCAACAGGAGTAGTTGCAGGGTTTCTTGTGAAGAACATTGTGATGGGCAACCGAGACCATTTCGTCTTCATATCTACAGAGTTTTGTAGGGAATTATGCTCCTATCAGTGTCGTTCATCACCTTCAAAGCCCTCAACATTGATGGGTTTGCGTCGTAAAAAAATTGCTTGAGCTGTGAGATACCTAAAGTCAGTGCCGGATCAGCCGGGCTGTGGCTCGTACGTTGGACTGCATGCGGCCAGCAGTAACAGCCTAGTTGATCAGGCCCTGATCCATCGGGAGGCTTGGTCATGGACTGGGCCGCGGGGGCGTTGATCCCCAGAATAACCTCCAGGTAACTTGCCCTAGTTTTTCAAGGGTGAGGGCTAAAGGTTGATTGGCCTCAGCAACACTCTCCTCTTTTTCATCCTCACTTTCTGCCTGCACAATCTCCAACAATTCTTCATCATTTAGGCATGTACTTCAGCCACTTCTCTCATCTCACTCTCCTGCATGTCCTTGAACCCTTCACCACCAACTAGCCCTGCTAACTCCAGTCATCTTCACGGCTTTGTATGCGCGTGAAGAGGTATCACAGTGGGCGCCTGTGATGAGCGGGGTCCCACAGGGGTCAGTTCTAGGACCAGTGCTATTTTTGATATATGCGAACGACATGGTGGAAGGAATAGACTCTGAAGTGTCCCTATTCGTAGATGATGTGAAGTTGATGAGAAGAATTAAATCGGATGAGGATGAGGCAGGACTGCAAATAGACCTAGACAGGCTGGACATGTGGTCCAGAAACTGGCTTCTCGAATTCAACCCTGCCATATGCAAAGTCATGAAGATTGGGGAGGGGCAAAGAAGACCGCAGACAGAGTATAGGCTAGGTGGACAAAGACTACAGACCTCACTCAGGGAGAAAGATCTTGGGGTGACCATAACACTGAGCACGTCACCGGAAGCACACATCAACCAAATAACTGCTGCAGCAAACCTAAGAATAGCGTTCCGATACCTTAATAAGGGATCGTTCAAGACACTGTACACTGTGTATGTCAGGCCCATACTGGAGTATGCAGCGCCAGTCTGAAACCCACACCTGGTCAAGCACGTCAAGAAGTTAGAGAAAGTACAAAGGTTTGCAACAAGGCTAGTTCCAGAGCTTGGGAATGTCGTATGAGTAAAGGTTGAGAGAAATCGGACTGATGACACTGGAGGACAGAAGGGTCAGGAGAGACATGATAACGACATACAAGATACTGCAGGGAATAGACAAGGTGGACAGAGACAGGATGTTCCAGAGAGGGGACACAGAAACAAGGGGTCACAATTGGAAGCTGAAGACTCAGGCGAGTCACAGGGACGTTAGGAAGTATTTCTTCAGTCATAGAGTCGTCAGGAAGTGGAATAGCCTAGCAAGTGAAGTAGTGGAGGCAGGAACCATATATAGTTTTAAGAAGAGGTATGACAAATCTCAGGAAGCAGAGAGGGAGAGGACCTAGTAGCGATCAGTGAAGAGGCAGGGCCAGGAGCTGAGTATCGACCCCTGCAACCACAATTAAGCGAGTACACGCTCTCTCTCTCTCTCTATCTCTATCTATCTCTATCTCTATCTCTCTATCTCTCTCTATCTCTCTCTCTCTATCTCTCTCTCTCTCTATCTCTCTCTCTCTCTATCTCTCTCTCTCTCTATCTCTCTATCTCTATCTCTCTCTCTCTCTCTATCTCTCTCTCTATCTCTATCTCTCTCTCTCTCTCTC